CCAGCGCCTCCTCGCGCGATCGGCCCAGCTGCACCTCCAGCTCCCGCTTCTCGGACGCCAGGCGCGACACCCTGGGGAAGACGGGGAGAGAGCGCTGGAGAGAGAGGCATGGCCCCATTCCCACGACTCCATGGGGGTGGGACGCCTCATCATTTCACCTCTCCGGAAGGAGGAACAGGGCTCCATCACTCTCAACTGCCCCCAAGGGGAGGGGCAGGCTCCTATCATCTCCCCTATCGACGTGTGAGGAGGGATGTGGTCACATCACCCCCATCCACCCCACGAAGAGGACATGACCCCACCACGCACAGGACGCACACACACTCCTCCCCTGGTGCGGGTGAAGGAGTGGGAACACAGCCATGTGAGTTCCAATTCTAAACGATTTCATCAATCTGTCCACACCCTGAAAGCCTAGCACTGCCTCCCTCCTCCTCCCACCTCGACAGGCCGGTCTCCCAGTCACGAAATCCTCTGCAATACAAATTTGATCAGGTAACTACCAGGCTCAAAACCCTTCCTTAAGAAAGTATATACACAAGGCTATTATTCATTGCAGCACAATCTGTAATTGCAAAAGAGTAGAAATAGCCAAAATGTACGTCAAAACAGAACTAACTGAATTTCTAATACATCTACTCAATTGAGTCGCACAAAACTATAAAGAGGAAAGTAGAGGATCTCTACGTCCCGTCACCGAGTGACTGCTGTGACACAGTATGGTGCAGACAGTGTGTTCAGAATGTCCCTTTTCGTAAAAGAAACGAGAATTATAAATTACATGTTTATATTTTCAAAATTATATAATAGAATAAACCAAAATCTATGGGGGAAAAGGATTATGGGGAAGGGGGAAATGAACAGAAATTGGACCTCTCTGGCTGGACAAAGTGGCTCATGCCTGTAATCTCAGCACTTTGGGAGGCCGAGGCAGGTAGATCACTTGAAGCCAGGAGTTTAAGACCAACCTGGCCAACCTGACGAAACCCTGTCTCTACTAAAAATACAAAAATTAGCCTGATGCAGTGTCACATGCCTGTGATCCCAGCTACTCAGGAGGTTGAGGCACGAGAATCACTTGAACTCAGAAGGCAGAGTGCGCAGTGAGCTGAGATTGTGCCACTGCCGTCCAACCTGGGAGACAAAGCAAGACCATATCTCAAAAAAAAGTCAGAACTACAGATAATTAAAAAAATTTTTTTTTTGCCGGGCGCGGTGGCTCAAGCCTGTAATCCCAGCACTTTGGGAGGCTGAGGCGGGCGGATCACAAGGTCAGGAGATCGAGACCATCCTGGCTAACACCATGAAACCCCGTCTCTACTAAAAAAAAAAATACAAAAAACTAGCCGGGCGTGGTGGCGGGCGCCTGTAGTCC